CTCTGGGACACATTTAAAGCAGTCTCTAGAGGGAAGTATATAGCAATAAGTGCCCATATGAGGAGAATGGAGAGATCCAAAATTGACATGCTATTGTCAAAATTGAAAGAGCTAGAGGAGCAAGATCAAAGAAACTCAAAACCAAGCAGAAGACAAGAAATAACTAAGATCAGAGCTGAACTGAAGGAGATTGAGACACGAAAAGCCCTTCAAAAAATCAATAAATCCAAGAGCTGGTTTTTTGAAAAGATCAACAAAATAGACAGACCACTAGGCAGACTGATTAAAAATAAACGAGAGAACAACCAAAGAGATGCAATAAAAAATGATAAAGGGGAAATCACCACAGACTCCACAGAAATTCAAACCATCATCAGAGAATATTACAAACAACTCTATGCACATAAACTAGTAAACCTGGAAGAAATGATAAATTCCTGGACTCCTGTGTCCTCCCAAGCCTAAACCAGGAGGAAGCTGAAACTGAATAGACCAATAACAAGGTCAGAAGTCGAGGCAGCAATTAAGAGCCTTACCACTCAAAAAAAGCCCAGGTCCAGACGGGTTCACAGCCGAATTCTACCAGACACACAAAGAGGAGCTGGTACCATTCCTTCTAAAACTACTTCAAACAATCCAAAAAGAGGGAATCCTTCCCAAATCATTTTGCGAGTCCAACATCATCCTGATACCAAAACCTGGCAGAGACCCAACAAGAAAAGAAAACTTCAGGCCAATATCCATGATGAACATAGATGCAAAAATCTTCAATAAAATATTGGCAAGCCGAATGCAACAGCAAATCAAAAAACTTATTCATCATGATCAAGTAGGATTCATCCTGGGGATGCAAGGCTGGTTCAACATACGCAAGTCTATCAATGTAATTCACCACATAAACAAAACCAAAAACAAAAACCACATGATTATCTCAATTGACACAGAGAAGGCATTTGACAAAATTCAACAGCCCTTTATGCTAAAAACCCTCAATAAACTCGGTATCTATGGAACGTATCTCAAAGTAATAAAAGCTATTTGTGACAAACCAACAGCCAATATCATACTGAATGGGCAAAAACTGGAAGCATTCCCTTTGAAATCCGGCACTAGACAAGGATGCCCTCTTTCACCACTCCTATTCAATATAGTACTGGAAGTTCGAGCCAGAGCAATCAGGCAAGAAAAAGAAATAAAGTGTATTCAAATAGGAAAGGTGGAAGCCAGATTGTCTCTATTTGCAGACGACATGATAGTATACCTAGAAGACCCCATCGCCTCAGCCCAAAAACTCCTGAAACTGATAAGCAACTTCAGCAAAGTCCCAGGATATAAAATCAATGTGCAAATATCACAAGCATTCGTCTACACCAATAACAGACTTAAAGAAAGCCAAATCAAGAACGAACTGCCATTCACAATTGCTACAAAAAGAATAAAATACCTTGGAATACAACTCACAAGGAACGTAAGGGACCTCTTCAAGGAGAACTACAAATCACTCCTCAATGAAATCAGAGAGGACACAAACAGATGGAGAAACATTCCATGTTCATGGTTAGGAAGAATTAATATCGTGAAAATGGCTATACTGCCCAAAGTAATTTACAGAATCAACGCTATCCCCATCAAGCTACCATTGACTTTCTTCACAGAACTGGAAAAAACCACCTAAAATCGAAAAAAAAAAAAAAATTAAAAATTTTAATAAATAAATAAAAAATAATAATAATTTTCACATAAAAAAAATACCAACGTATTTACTCAGTTTGCAAAAAAGCTGAAAATATAACTATAAAGGTAAATCTTGATTGCATTATGCAAAATAAAATGAGCCAGCCACAAACAGAGATGTTATCAGATATATAAACCACTTACTCTTAGAAAGGGAAAACAGAATTGTTTTTGAAAAGTGCCAGAAAATGGGAAAAACTGGTAGTTGTTTAATGGGTATTGTAAAATTTCCAGAAATCTTTTACAAAACAATGTAACTGGCTGGGTGTGGTGGCTCATGCCTGTAATCTCAGCACTTTTGGAGGCTGAGGTGGGTGGATCACCTGAGGTTAGGAGTTTGACCAGCCTGGCCAACATGGTGAAATGCCATCTCTATTAAAAAAAAATGTTACTATACTTAACATGCCTGAAATGTACAGTGTTTTTGAGTCAGGGTCTTACTTTGTCACCGAAGCTGAAGTGCATGGCACAATTATGGCTCACTGCAGCCTCAAACTTCAAGGTTCAAGTAATCCTCCCTTCTAACTCTCCCAAGTACATAGGACCACACCACCATGTCTGGCTATAAAATCTGATATGCAACATTGATGAAGAATTGAAAAGAATGTATGTAGATAACTGCAAGATTTTACTGTTAACAGTCTACTCATTGAAGGTGGTTATTTTCAATCATTGCCATGCACTACCATGCAGTAAAATTTCAGAAAAAAATGCAGTATAATCATAAAATAAAGATTCTGATGACAAACTTTTCACAAATAAGCATTTTAATATATGAGATAATTTTTCAGTTTTAAATATATACTATTCTTACACAAAATAAAACTGCTGTAATCCAACTTTAGAAGCAAAGAACAGCCTTACATGACTAAATACAAAAATATATATATCTATTTTGCAGAATATGGTTAGAGCCTCTGATACATAAAACAAATATTTGGGAATAAATTATGTTATATTTTAGATATAGGCTGACAAAAGAGAGTGAAAATCCGATAATCTTTTTCACCTGCCTATATCTCTTTTTGCCTGTCTACTAATTATCTAATTCATTTCAGGTGTAACATGTAAACTCTAGTATATTGTCCTAAATGTCTAAATCTATTATTACAGACAAAATTAAAATAGAAAATACAAGGTAAACATGTACAGTGAGAGTGACATCACTGAGATGGAAAAATAAAAGGTGCCCTGTTTGCTTATTTTCTGTCAACAAGAAAATTTGTCAGCCATCCCTGAGAAAAATGCCTCTATGAGAGAAACAGGAATTGGCTCAAACATGTAATGACGGCTACATGGTACATTAAGTCAGAGAATTGCTTTAGGCCAGAATTTTAAGACCAGCCTCAGTTATATAGCAAGACACCATCTCCAAAATAAATGCCCTTAAAAGAGCTTTGAGAACCAGGGAGGGAGTTGTGGAACTCTGCTAATGCCCAAGACTGAGGAACATTCTTTTCAGAAGGCAGGCTTCCATTCAGGTGGCAAACTACAGGACCTTTGTTCTTGGCTATAGACCAGAAAATGGCCCACTGAACTTGGTCCCACTCAGAATTCTGTAATCATCCCAAAATCCTCCCAGCCACAGTCTGAGAGAGATCCTACCCTTCTGGAGGCCTGGAGGAAGAAACCCATTTATAGCCACGCTGGCAAGCCTACAGACACTGTCCCTTACTGTGGTTCCTGAAGCAGTTCCATGACTCAGTTTTAGCTCCCTGAGCCACAGTTCATGGCACATTCTGCCTACGTAGAAACCCACACAGCAACTTTGGAAAAATCCTCTCTGGTTCTCAGTGAAAGCCAAACTCATCTACATCCTAATATAAAGCCTAACATATGCAGACCCATGTGCAGAAGCCTGCCTTAGAGTCTGCCCCACAGAGCCAAGTCCTGAAGAATATTCACTCTGTTCAAAAATATAATGGGAATTACAACTACCCAATTCCCTTGTAACAATCCAGCTAAAGGTGGACCCTAATGCAGACCCAGCAGCCTCTGTGACCTAGCTACAACCCCTCTCCACTACAAACACATAGGACATCCCATTATCCTGGGAGCTCAACAAAAGATCTTTACTTTCTGAAACCAGTTTATAAAAACTTGAAGAGGTGTTTACTCCTTCGAATTCACAGACACCAATGCAAAAGTATCTTGTGCTCATTCTGAATGCTTCTATTTTAACATAGCATTGGAAGTATGTGGAATAAAAATTAGTCAAAAAAATTTTAAGTCATTGAAATTAAAGACAAATAAGTAAAAAGTTGCTTTTTGTAGATTATTTGATCTTATATAAAAAAACATAACCAGTACATTAAAATCTAATTAAAGTAATAATTACACTCAATAAATTAGCAAAATAGAAAATTAACATAGAAGTATGAGTTCTGGTTCCATACACTTTAAAGGAACTATCTGATAAGATAGAAAAAGGAAGTAATCTTATTGAAAATAGTACTAAAATAATAAATTTCTAAGAACAAATTTAATCAAGGAGTTTATCTTTCAAATAAGATACATCAATAAAAAAATTGACATGACAAATAAAGTTAAAAACATTTCATGTCTATTGATTGAAAGAATATTGTTAAAGTGCCATATAATCTATAGTGATCCTTAGATTCACTAAATGCCCTATTGAAATTTCAGTATTTTTTACAGTAATAAAAAATACAATTCTAAAATTCACATAGAACTACAATGAACTTTGAATAGCCAAAGCAATCTTGAAATAAAAAAAACAACAAAGCAGAACATATTTTATAAATATTTTATAATTCCAAACTATACTTCTAGACTATAAAAGACAAAATGCAATGTGCAGAAAAATTAGCAATAAAGAAACCAATGGAACAGAAACCACCACTCTCACACATTTGAGACATGATGTAAAAAGCAAACTTAAAAAAAAAAAAAAAAGTTTAACATAAAGTTCCTCAAAATTATGCAGATATCTGTGTGCTTTCAAAAACAATGTAAAAGAGGTCAGATTTTCAGTCTTATTTATGTGCCACGAAGAGGACTCTGGCTGTCACTGTAAACTTGGAGGATCACTGAAGGGAAAGTAAAATCTGTAGCGATTTTAAAAAGGTGAAGACAGAAGATGTTTCTATGTGAAAGCAAAATTTAAAAAATATATACCTCAGGCTTCCCAGAAATTATTTCCTGTGGAACATGGATTTCCAAATCATTTTAAGGACTGGCTTTTTTTTTTTACTTACGACCTCTCATCTGTGTTGTCAGCTGTACTCACATTCATTCTCACCTACCTGGGGGTTCGGCTACCAGCTCACGTCTCTTCACATTCCAAGGTTCTTTTCCTTGCTCCAGACAGGTGATCAGGTCTGGCTTAGAGGAAGCAATACCTGCTTTATTAAAAGTTACATGAATCTTGCTCTTATTCTCCAATTACTAACTTAGTAGTGTGCTCCGTAAGAATGTAATAGAATATTCTAGTAAATGAATTCTAAAATACCAATTTATAAAAAAATTAAATATTAAGGAAACATTTTAATTTTGTAAGTTCTTTTTTTTTTTTTTTGAGACGGAGTTTCGCTCTTCTTACCCAGGCTGGAGTGCAATGGCGCGATCTCGGCTCACCGCAACCTCCGCCTCCTGGGTTCAAGCAATTCTCCTGCCTCAGCCTCCTGAGTAGCTGGGATTACAGGCACGCACCACCATGCCCAGCTAATTTTTTGTATATTTAGTAGAGACGGGGTTTCACCATGTTGCCCAGGATGATCTTGATCTCTCTTGACCTCGCGATCCACCCTCCTTGGCCTCCCAAAGTGCTGGGATTAAAGGCTTGAGCCACCGCGCCCGGCCCTTAATTTTGTAAGTTCTTAATTTCGCTACCTAGTACTACTCAATCAAAAATTAGTAGTGGCAATTAGATTTTAAGATGTGGGCAACAGTATGTTATGCTACTAAATTTCTAAAATTAACACTAATCTAGAATGAAAGACACAGATCAGCTCAGGAATGTAGAAAGTTCAGGTCAAAATTAAACATCTTAAAATTCTCTTTTATATATGCATATCTTGAAGTTAAAAAAAAAGATCTGAAAGCATAAATTAAAAAACCAATTTACAAATAAATAAATAAATATTAGGCTATATTAGGAAACTGTTTACTGAAGTTATGCTCACCTAGGAAGGCCAGGTTTCTGTAGTTCTCTAACATCACATCCGTATACAAATTCTGCTGTGCAGCGTCCAGGCATTGCCACTCCTCCAGAGAGAATTCTATGGCCACATCCCTAAATGTCAACGCTCCCTGAAACACACACGCATATGCACATATATTTACCAAGTGACCATGAGCAGAATTTTTAATCTGACTCAAGGCAAAACAAAAATAAAGAGAAGTAGTTCTTACTTACAGGAGTGACTAAAAATAATTAATAAATAACTATTAACACAGAAATATTCTCTTATGTATTATCTAACTCTGAGAAAAGCCAGTAGCATAAGATCCACAACATCAAAATATAGATGAAACGTTTCTGAATGTTGAAGTGTAAAACTGAGAGCACAAACACTAACATGTACATTTTTGAGTGCCATATTTACATCGTAGAGAATGATGTGTGTACATTTTTCAGATGGAAAAAACATACTGAGATAGAAAGTATTGCTCAAATTTTAATGTGTAATACACTGGAGATCTTGTTAATGCAGATAATTTTTTCAGAAAATCTGGAGTAAAATCTGAGTTTCTGAATCTCTAACAAGCTCACCAGTAACGCCAATGTTTTTGGTCCAAGAAAACTATCTTGTCAAATATCCCGTAAGTGAAAGAGCCTGTGTGTTTTTTAGTTTTTCCTGCCTATAAACAAAGATGAGAGCTTTCATTTTCCAAAGAAAGATAAATGCAAAGAAAACCTAAGAAAGGGCAGCTGCCAGATTAAAGGTGATTGTTTATCCACATCAGCTGAATAAAGACACTTAATAATGAAGAGTTAAATAATTAACTCTGTAGAAAAAAAAATCAGTCACAGAGCTCATTAACCAAGTAAGTTATTAATATCAACTGCATTAAGACAAATATCCGTGATGTGCTGATCACAGAGGACACAGTACCACGGCTATAATATCACCTCCCCAAAAAAGTAAATTACGGTCTGAAATTAATCACGAAATGTCAGTTTGGCCAGGCATGGTGGCCCACGCCTATAATCCCAGGACTTTGGCAGGTCAAGGCAGGTGGAACATGACGTCAAGAGATCGAGACCATCCTGGACAACATGGTGAAACCCTGTCTCCACTAAAAATACAAAAATTAGCCAGATGTGGTGGCACACACTTGTAGTCCCATCTACTCGGGAAGCTGAGGCAGGAGAATCGCTTGAATCCAGAAGACAGAGGTTGCAGTAAGCCGAGATCATGCCACTGCACTCCAGCCTGATGACAGAGCTAAACTCTTATCTCAAAAAAAGAAAACAGTTTATGCAAAGTTAGATGCAGATATCCCCAATATTCTGTTAATTTTAATCCTGATTTTAAGCAGTGTTTCTTTCACACTATAAAGAAATAAAGAGCAAGTATTCTTTAATTTTTTAAAACTTTCTAGGTAATAAGTGCCATTTCATTTAAATAAGCATTTTCTTAATCCTGTTCTGCATACAGCTAACGGAGAACAGAGATGGAACCTCAACATTACGGGCTCTCCACCTTTACTAAGGATTCCAGGTTTTCCCCCATAGAAATCCTGAGTATCCACACCTTCCCATGTTCCACAGCCATGAAGAAAATATTCTTAATATTGCAGTTCATCAATTCATGATGAGAATTCCTTATGACATATAAGAAGCCATGATGTTGAGAATGTAAAGGAGACTCTGATACCTAGGAAATAAATATTTTTCAGAGACCCTTCACTATTATAAGAACTAAAAAGTAGGCCGGGCGCGGTGGCTCAAGCCTGTAATCCCAGCACTTTGGGAGGCTGAGGCGGGTGGATCATGAGGTCAAGAGATCGAGACCATCCTGGTCAACAAGGTGAAACCCCGTCTCTACTAAAAATACAAAAAATTAGCTGGGCATGGTAGTGCGTGCCTGTAATCCCAGCTACTGAGGAGGCTGAGGCAGGAGAATTGCCTGAACCCAGGAGGTGGAGGTTGTGGTGAGCCAAGATCGTGCCATTGCACTCCAGCCTGGGTAACAAGAGCGAAACTCCGTCTCAAAAAAAAAAAAAAAGAACTAAAAAGTAGTTAAAACAAACTCATTAGGAAGAAAAAGCACAAGTAGAAAAGTAAAGCTTTGCAAGTACTAAATGCACAGCATTCCAGGAGGCGGAGCAGACACAGCTCTTAATCTGAGACATGTTTAGCTTTAAAGAAAAAAGCCATTTTTTAAGAGTGGGACAAACATGGCTGACTAGAAGCAGTGGCTGACTAGAAGACTTCTATCGAAAGGAACATAATAGCATGTGAATCTTGCACCGGTATTTGTGGTATTATCCAGGTTATCTCATCAGAACTAACTAGACAACTGGCATGACCCACAGAGAGGAAGAAAAAGAGCAGTGTGGTGTGGCAACCCACCTGAGAGCCACACAGGACATGGAAGCCCCCACCCCCCAGCCAAAGAGGCAGTGAATGAGTGTGCTACTTAGCCAACACAAGCAAGCTTTTCACATGCAACTGTGTAACCCACAGATTGAAAGATTTTACTCAAGAAGCCATAGTACCAGGGCCTAGGGTTCCAACCCCAGAGCTGTGCAGATTCCCTACAACCTCTCAGCTAAAATCTGCTTAAGCCTGCTGAGATCCCATGGGAGGGGTGACCAGCCCCACAGCTGCTGATGCCTGCTGTCTAAGCCATTTGAGCTCCTGGGGGAGGCGCAGGAACCAGCGCTGGGACTGAAAGCTGCCTAACACACTAAGCTCCTTGGGCAGAGAAAGGGCCACACGTTTCCCCTGCTGGAGCCAGGGATGCTAGATGGCTTGGTCCCAAGAGGTGTCTCCCACACCCCAACACACCAGAGGTGGCAGACTGTGGCCAGAGCACCTCTTCAGGCCTGACCCTGACCTATCCCTCGGCTCTGTGAGGGGTCTCCCTGGAGGAACTCCAACAACTTCAGCCAGAGGCGCAGGGACAGAATTCTGATCTCCCTGGCCTGAGACCCTAGGGGGAGAGTTGACTGCAGTCTCTGCAGACCAGCAGAATTAGCTTTTCCTCCTGTGAGTTCTGAGGAATCCAAGCAGCCCAAAAATGAGGGCTTCTCCTCAGCAAAGCACCCCCTCCACCAAAGGACAGTAAAAGTGCTTTATTAAATGGGTCCTGTTCCTCGTGCCACCCAACTAGACAAGATACTCCAACAAAGGTTGGCAGACACCCTACACAGGAACATTCCCACTATTAGCAGATTGGTGCTCCTTGAGGTCAGAGATCCCAGAGAAAGGAGCAGGCAGCCATCTTTGCTGTTCTGCAGCCTCCTTGAGTATATCTCCAGGTGCAGGAGTGAACCCGATAAATAGGGTCTGAAGTGAACCCCCAGAAAACGACTGCAAACTTATAGAAGAGGGACCTGGCCATTTAAAGGAAAGCAAAAAGCAATGAACAACAGCAAAAAAACAGTTCCCAAAATAACCCTATCCTAGAGTCAGCAGCCTCTAAGATCAAAACTCGACAAAGTCCTGAAGATGAGAAAGAATCAATGAAAAAAACGCTAAAAATCCAAAAGGCAAAGAGTGCCTTTTCTTCTCCAAATGACTGCAATGCCTCTCCAGCAAGGGTGCAGAACTCAACGGAGGATGAGATAGACAAACTGACAGAAGTAGGCTTCAGAAGATAGGTAGTAACAAACTCTACTGGGCTAAAGGAGCATGTTCTAACTGAAGGCAAAGAAGCTAAGAACCTTGATAAAAAGAGAGAGAAGCTGCTAACTAACCAGTTTAGAGACAAACATAAATGAACTGATGGAGTAAAAAAATCACAGCATGAGAACTTCTTGAAGCATACACAAGTATCAACAGACAAATTGACAGAGTATACGAAAATACATCAGAGTTTGAAGACCATCTTGCTGAAATAAGGCATGCAGACAAGATTAGAGAAAAAAGAATAAAAAGCAATAAATAAAGCCTCTGAAAAATATGAGACTACATAAAAAGACTAAACCTATGATTGACAGAAATACCTGAAGGAAACAGGAAGAATGGAAACAAACTGGAAAACACACTTCAGGATATTCTCCAGGAGAAATTCCCCAACCTAGCAAGACAAGCTAACATTCAAATTCAGGAAATACACAGAACACCACTAAGACACTCCACAAGATCAACCCCAAAAAACATAAGCATCAGATTCTCCAAGGTTGAAATGAACATAAAGAAATGTTAAGGGCAGCCAGAGAGAAAGGCCAGGTCAACTACAAAAGTCGGTCCATCAAACTAACAGTGGACCTCTCAGCAGAAACCCTACAAGCCAGAAGACAGTACAAGACAATATTTAACATTCTTAAAGAAAAGGATTTTGAACCCATAATTTTATATCTAGCCAAAATAAGCTTCATAAGTGAAAAAGAAATAAAATCCTTTCCAGAAATACAGGACTGGCTTGCAAAGGCCTCTGAAAAAAGCACTTAATAAGGAAAAAAAAAAAAAAAAACAGTACCAGCCACTGCAAAAACACACCATAAAGAACAATGACACTACGAAGAAAGACATCAACAAGTGCACAAAATAACCAAATAGCATCATGATGACAGGATCAGCTTCACACAAAGCAATACTAACCTTAAATGTAAATGAACTAAATGTCCCAATACAATAACACAGACTGGCAAATTGGATAAAGAACTAACTATCCTAAATATATATGCACCCAATACAGAAGCACCCAGATTCATAAAACAAGTTCTTATAGACCTACAAAGAGACTTAGATGCCCACACAATAACAGTGGGAGAGTTTAACACTCCACTGTCAACACTAGAGAGATCAACAAAACAGAAAATTAACAAGGATATTCAGAGCTTGAACTCAGCTGGATTAAGTGGACCTTATAGGCATCTACAAAATGTACTGCCCCAAGTTAACAGAATATACATTCTTCTCAGTGCCACATGGCACTTTTCTAAAATCAACCACATAATTGGAAATAAAATACTCCTCAGGCAATACAATAGGACTGACATCGTACAGTCTGTCAGACCACAGCATAGTCTAATTAGAACTCAGGATTAACTTACTCAAAGCCACACATTTACATTAAAAAAAGAACAACCTGCTCCTGAATGACTCCTGGGTAAATAATAAAATTGAAGCAGAA